TGGCCGGTCCGTTTGGCCAAACCGGCGCCGTCTCGCTGCGCGGCCTCACCTTGGCTGTAGGGGCAATGGTAAGCTTTGGCGCGTCTGTCTTCTCTGTGAGGATTGCATCGGCTGGAAATCTGGCTGCCTCGAGCGGCTTCATCGCTCGGGCTCTCGTGATGGGCAAAGCAGCCGTGCCGCTGCTGCTTCGGGCGAGCTGGGATGGCGCAGATCGAATTAGCATCGGCCTGCCCCTCATTTGCGGACTCCTCCAGGTACGAACTAGTGGGGCTTGAGGCCAGCCGCGCCCGCATACGAGTGGTTTTGCTCATTCGCTCCCTCACTCAGGCGGGAGGGGTCTACGCAATCAATCAGGCGCTCTCCGTCGGCCCGTATACGAGCATGTCGATCGCCATATTCGGCAGCAACTCCATCGTGGTCCTGCTCCTCGCCGCCGTCATCGAGGGTCGCGTGCCGACGGCGGGAGCTTTGTTAGGTATATGATTAGGGCATCTGCTATGCCGTCCGATGCGCTCACAAGCCCCTCGCTGGCCTCCCAGGAATGGCGCTCACCGCCGCCGGTTGCGTCTCCATCTCTGTGGCAGCGCGTGGGCCAACCTCGAAGGCTGAGGGGCGCTCCAGCGACCCTACGGAGTCATCTCCTCTCAATCTCGATCTATGGGGAGAGCAGGGCGAGGCCGACGCGGTCGGTCTTCGACGCAAGAGCTCGACTCGAGAGCAAATTGCGTCGCCGGTATCCCAGTCTGCTGCCCCGCGGTTGCGCGCTTCCAACGCCGCGTTGTACGCTCACTAAACTCGTTGAAGGCTTGTAAGAGCAGCTACGAGTCCCAATTGGCGTGAGTCATGTGTGCATGTGTGTGGAATAAACAAATGAAAGACGGAACCTCATTAGTAGAGATAGAAAAGGGAGCCGGTGCATGTGTGTGGCCAGGTAAAGGGGAAGGCCGAGCCTCGGCCGTCCAACCCCTTTTGTACGTCATCTACCACCGCCTTGTCTACCAGCACTAGAGGCCGGTCAGGCCGACGACAAAGTCCTTATCGGGCGGCGGCCTCGGTGTCGTTGTACGCCACATCCTACAGGTCCATTCTCGGCGTTGGAAAAATCAGAGATGATCGGCGCAGGCCCTCTAATGCAGTCAAGTGGAGGGCTCGCCTCTCGCGGTCGATGTGCCCCGCGGCACGCACGCCGCCAAAGCCCTTGGCTCCCTACGATGGACGAGAGAGCAAGTGTAGCCGTGAGGGGGTGGGTTGGACCTGTGAGCGACGCAATTCCGCCTTTCTCTCTCGATCAATCTTCTCCGTCTCCTCCACTGGCTGGCCGATATTTGACTTCTTCTTTGAGCTAGCCCCTCCTTCGCCAGCATACCCGCCCCGGTAGTCACCACCACTCAATTTGCCGCTCGAGGACTTGGGTCTCTGGTACGTCCCGGGCCCTTTGCTTCCGAAGTCCTTCTTCCGCCCGCTGCCTGCTTTGGACGGGCTCTTTTGTGGCTCCGCATCTCCGTACCCGGCAGCATAGTCAGCCAGCGATCGAGTCAGGAGTCGTTGACGGGCACGGGGCAGGGTGGATCGGAATCTCAGGGCGCGGGACATGTACATGCGGCGACGAGGGAGCAGTCAGGTTTGGCCTGTAGTTCCCTGCGCGTTCCATAGCATCTAGGATCCCATCTAGTTTTGTACGTCTTCTGGGAGAATTTTACTTGACGTGGACCCCCCTCCGGGGTGGCTTGCCCGTTGGGGTCGGCCGCGCCGACACCGGAGGCAACCCCGGCTCCGTTGGAGACAAGTTCGCTTTCGGCAACACCGACCGAAGAGCGCACCCGCCTCGCAAACATGGGCTGCAAGCAACGCTTCCGTCCGTCCGTGGTCAACGGGCGTTCGACCACACCACCGGCCAAGGCTACGTCAAGTCACAGCGTGGCCACTACCCAGAAAGATCAACCGCCTTGGAGCAGGCGCACATCGCTTCCAGGGAGGGGGGCGCGCTTCTCTCCCCTAGCCTGTGGTGAAGCCTCTGGGGGGAGGTCTTCTCGTCGCGCGTTTGCTCCTTTGTCTCGTTGGCGCGTGTGTTCTCTGCGCTCGTTTCTCGGGTGTTGTCTTTC